CGTCCCACCTGCTGCGCGCCGGCTGCGCGCCCGCGGTGCAGCCTATAAAGCGGACGGGAGGGGAGCGCGGCGGCTCCTTCTGCAACTCGGAAGTTCGGTGTTTGAGGGGTCTCGGGTCTTTTTAGCAACCTGCAGGTCAGGGTCAGCTTTCCTTTCGCACCGGGTTGTCATTCCTGGAGAGACAGGGTGACTTCAGCGTCAGAAGATCCTCGGGCTGGCTCAAGTGGGCGAAAACCTACACTTGGAGGAGCAGGGCAGATAGCGTTGTTGGTTCCTCTCAAGGATGGGGGAAAGTATTTTATTTTGTAATTTTTTTTTTTAATCTTGAGAGAGTTTCAGATTAGGAAATGTCTATTCAAGCTGTTGATTGAAACGTTTTTATACAGCAAAGGTTTTAATTAAAAAAAAAATTCCTCAAAATAAGTTTGCAAGATCACTTTTTTTTTTTTTTTGGAAAGGAAAAGCACTTGAGGGGAGGTAGCCAGGACTTAAAAGGTTAAATGTTTTCCACTGTTGTTAGAATAAAGACAGTGTCTTGCGATAGACATTGTTAAACTGTTTGGCTATATTTTATTGTGCTGTGGTATAGTATTATTGTTGGTAACTGATGTGTACAGAGTAACACTATGGTGCTCTTTCTAGGTATAATTGAAGACATTGTGTGGTCCTTGTAAGAAGCTCGGTTCCTGCTTGGGTTTTAATTGCAAAATATTGTTTTAGATTTTTGTATAGGTAATTGGATTTTGGATCTACTTTGAAATATGATAAAGGCAAAGCAAATAACTAATTCAGAGGTCAATATTTGCAAATTTGCATATTTTAATCTGAAAGTTAGTTATATACAAAGCTCTTATCTCCTAGGTGTTTTACTAGATTTCCATTTAAGTTCTGAAGTCTGTATTGAGTCTCCTTTGTAGTTAATGACCCTTTAAAGTAATATTCACAATCAAATATTCTTCTTGGATGCTAGCATTGTTTGATTGTATTATGCATGCTTCTGTCCCGCAAGCCACTCTTGGTAGTATTTGCTATTCGAAAAGAAGTCTATGGAATTTTTTGCAGGTTAAAAAAAAAAGTGGTAGCATTGCTTTTGTAGTATTGAGCCTTAAAATAACAATCAGAGTGGTGTACACAAGTATGACACACACTAAAATATTGGAGAGAGATATTTTTACTGTGCTGTTGAAGTTTTTGGTAGCACTAACTCATTTAATGTCTAACCTCAAACATTTTATTGCTATTTAGTGTTTTTCTTGGGACCATTGGTATTAAACTAAAATTTCCTATTTACATCATGTAAAGTTTAATGTGTAAAGAGACTAGCCTACGAAAATATTATCCAGTTTTAAACAAAATTGGAGAATTATGTCTGTCATCAGCAGGTCACATTACACTTGCTAAATACTTGTAGGGTTTTTTTTTTTTTTTTAATGTAAAATACATTTTAGTAGTGTCATGTGAAAGGAAGAGTCACTTTAAGTGGCTGAAATTTAATCATGTTAAAGGCCATGGTCTAGCCAGTGGATGGCTAGGGGAGGCTTAGATATCAGGTATAATACCTAGATTTCCTAGAATCACAAGTTAAAACGTACAGATCTGGAAAAAAATTTCTTTAAGCTCTTCATAAAAGTAAGAAATACCTTAGCCAAAACAGGCCAAGTGAAGCATATTCAGCTGACTGGCTCTTGTGCACCACCCCAGATGCAACTCCTTTTTTAGTGGCTGATGCATTACTGTAATGTGCACAACGCTCAGGGATGCTTTAGGCTTGCAAGGCTGCTGGAGAACATGCAATGTGTTGCAATAGTGAATCTTGTCTTTGTTGCTCCAGGATTTCAGATGTGTGCTAAGCCTGTTGGAGTGAGCACGCTTCAGGGCACTGATGGAGACGAGAGCTCAGAATGGCAGCGGGTCGCAGTCCTTGCTACAGGTTCGGCGTGACACTGGGAGGCCGCACGGGGAGCCCGACCTGAGGGATGTCCTGACGCAGCAGGTTCACGTGTTGTCTTTGGACCAGATAAGGGCCATCCGAAATACAAATGAGTACACGGAGGGACCGACAGTGGCTCCGCGACCAGGGGTCAAATCTACTCCTCGTGTAGCAACTCAACACAAAAATGAAAGGCCTCATGGCTTGCCTGAACATCGTCATTTTAGCCGGATTCAGCATACGCAAATGCACACTTCTCCTCGGGCGCCTCTGTCCCGCTCCATCAGCACAGTCAGTACAGGTTCACGGAGCAGTACAAGGACAAGTACGAGCAGTAATTCCTCCGAACAAAGACTTTTAGGATCATCTTCGGGGCCAGTTGCCGACGGGATAATCCGAATGCAGCCCAAGTCTGAGCTCAAGTCAAGTGAGCTGAAGCCACTGAGCAAAGAAGACTTGGGAGCGCATACCTACAGGTGCGAGGACTGTGGAAAATGTAAGTGTAAGGAGTGCACTTATCCGAGGACCCTCCCGTCGTGTTGGATCTGTGACAAGCAGTGTCTTTGCTCAGCCCAGAACGTGGTTGATTATGGGACTTGCGTGTGCTGCGTGAAGGGCCTCTTCTACCACTGCTCTAATGATGATGAGGACAACTGTGCGGACAACCCCTGTTCTTGCAGTCAGTCACACTGCTGCACGAGGTGGTCTGCCATGGGTGTGGTGTCCCTCTTTCTGCCTTGCTTGTGGTGTTACCTACCGGCCAAGGGTTGCCTTAAATTGTGCCAGGGCTGTTACGACCGGGTAAATAGACCTGGGTGCCGCTGTAAACACTCAAACACGGTTTGCTGCAAAGTTCCCAGCGTCCCCCCCAGGAACTTTGAAAAGCCGACATAGCATCACTAATCGGAAATATTAAAGTAATAAGGGTTATTTTAACGTATATATGCAACCAACTAAGCAGCTATGGTCCTGGCACTGTAGTAGAAGGGTTGGGGATATACTTTGCTGTTTGCAGTGAACTGCTTTTCCGTGTGTGTGCCATCTTAACTGATATGCTTGTTAGAATCCAGCTAATGGGATACAGAAAAAAATGGGATTCAGTACATTGTGACCCACATATTGCATAAGCTAAAGCAACACAGACACTCCTAGGCAACTCTATTGTTTGTGAATAGTACTTGCAAAATTTGTAAATTAGCAAATGACTCCTTTTTTCATTGTTTTCTGCCAGAGATAATGTGCTATATTTTTGTATATACAATAATATTTTCAACTGTGAAAAATAAGTGGTGTCATAAGACATGGCACAGTCACAAAATATTATACTAATATGTTGTACATTCGGAAGAATGTGAATCAATCAGTATGTTTTTAGATTGTATTTTGTCTTACGGAAACCTTCTATTACAAGACTCTGATTTCCCTCTGGACTTCATGTATATTGTACAGTTACAGTAAAATTCAGCCTTTATTTTCTAATTTTTTCAACATATTGTTTAGTGTAAAGAATATTTATTTGAAGTTTTATTATTTTATAAAAAGAAATATTTATTTTAAGAGGCATCTTACAAATGTCACCCCTTTTTATGAGGACGTCATAGTTGCTGCAAATAAGGGGTGAACGATGCATATGTTCACTATAAAATAGAAAATATATTAACGTTTGAAATTAAACTGGGCTACTTGTCATTTTTTTCCCCACATTTATTGCTCTGAGTTGGAAAAAATCAGTACTTTTAATTGCAAACATCGAAGTAACATGCTATATGACCAGCTGGATAACAAAAATAAACCTTTAAAGTATTTTCTTTTTTACTACTTCATCTGAAAACAATGCAGAATTTTTGCTTCCTTTACACAAATGTTACATATGCTGTTCCTGCAATAGAAAAGGAAAATGAACATAGGACAATGCATTAATCCATTCCAGACTAGGACTAATAGGCACTGAAAGCTTGACCTATTCTATAAGTGATGAGCTTTTGTGCTTTAAATGGGAGATAAGTAATCATTCACAAAAAATGCTAGGCTTGCACAGCTCTAGTGCTCAGAGGGGAGAAAAAAAAAAAAAAAAAGAGAAGAAGAAAATTAATATGACCAGTGCAAAAAGCTTGCAGGATTGTTTGTTAAAAGTAGAAGAACATGCCATGGGGAATGATAGATCTGAATGCAGTCCAGCCTTATGTCAAACATTTGCCTCACTTGTAAGAAGAAAGTTGCTTGATTTGTCATTTGTGGCAGTTACCTTCCACTGAGGTCAAAATCCTTTTGCTGCCAAGTTTCCCACCGGAAGTCTAGAGAATGATTTACCTTTCTTTATTAACAAACTATCATTTCCTGTTCTGAGCATGTCTCTCCAAGTTTAGAGGTCTTAATGTTGAATTTTATTTATATATTTCTTAAGCTGGTATTTAAGAAATAGTCGTAAGTATTTTTAAGCTGACAGTTAGAAAAATCTCACAGCCTTTTCTGAATCCTCTCCAACAAAAACAAGTTATAACTAATAAATTAAGAACTCACCAGAAGTTGAAAATCAGAGCATTCAGTACATGTTACATCTTTTTGCCCCTTAATTTTAATCTGCAATCTGGTGTTTAAACTATTTTACATAGGTCTGTAGTACCCAGAAATCTTACTTGGTGCACGTATGTGTGTGCATTAGTTATCAATCATCAAGTGAAATTAAAAAGTGCAAGTCTGAACTAGTTTGAAAAACAAAAATAGCTGATATATAGGCCGTGTTCTTGTTCTTTTTTTTTTTTTTTTTCCCTTCTGCCTCTCCTCTGAAAAAGCATGAGCTGGTTTTCTTTCCTCTCTGCACCAACTGGCTGGATATTTTGGTACACAAAGACAAGCAGTATATATTTAGCCTTTTGAGTGGAATTTTCAGGAAGAAGGTGGCATATGTTACATGAGTAATTTGTCCGTTCTTGAAGGACATCAGGATATTGTGATGGGGTACTGGGACATATATATGAGATTTTACTTGACTGCTGATAAAATAGAGGCTTTAAAAAAAAAAAATGGTTCTTAAATGCTGAACCTTCATTCTTCATGTGTTTCCATTCATATAGTTCTCAAATTACATCAGGTGCTTATGCCAGTGCTTATGTCAGTACTGTCCAGTGCTACTCTTGCAACAGTGCTGATTGAAAACTACTATAGAAATAACCAAATAGTGCATTTATCTGGGGAATCTCTGACCTTTAGGCTCTGTTTTGGAAACTAAAATCCAGTGATTGTAGTGCTCTTAATGAACCTGGCAACGCTGAAGG